AAAAAAAAAAAAGGAGAGAGAAAGAAACAAGCAACACAATTCTGTGTTGGAATTCCTTATATAGAGAAGAAATCTGTGGCCAAATCCTTAAAGAAGAAGGAATCCTACTCCAATAAGGAGTTGGAAATTCTCTTTGAGTTCTATTCAAACAAGGAGATAACAATTTTGTTTATTCCTTTCTAAGTTAGGAATCTTACTGCATTAAGAAATAGTCAAGTCAATTCCTACTAGGAAGTGCTTGAACTAATCTGTTCGCTTTAATTTATTTAGGTTTGGTTCTATTATTAGTTTTCTTGTTCGCTCCTTTGTGTCTTTCTGTTTCCTTTAACTCTTGCAGATTTGTTGGAGTTAGATTGCTGCAAAATAACTTGAATTGAGCTTGTTTAGTTCAATAACGAACTGAAAGAGGAAAGTTGAGTGAGGGAAAAAGGCAAGAGGTGTGAACAACACTTGAGAGCAAAGCCAAGTTCTACAATGTGCAAAACACGAGCGTTGAGTGCCATTCTGTGAGAGAGTGGAGTGAAACACGTAAGGGAGTGTTGTGAGGTCCTTTTATTCTTTTGTTGCTAACATTTGTTGCAGGTTTCAATCATGTCAAGCGGTGATGACAAATCAACCACTAAAAGACACCATGTGGATGAATCTCTCATGCTCAAAGCAATGCAACAACAATTTCAGAGGCTGGACATCATGTTTGGTGTGATTAAAGACAATGGAGAAGCAAGATGCAACTATAGCCAATTTATACCAAATACAGAAGGGAAGTCCGAATTGTGTAGGAATGATGCTAATGATGGTCTCAATGACGATTATGAAGATGCATTCAACAACGATGCCCAGAACTCAAATTTCAACATGGACAGATTTATGAGAGGTAGAAGGGATCAAAAAGGTAGGTTTAACCGAGGAGAGCAAAATATGACGAGGTGGGGAGATCAGCAAGATCGTGACTTAGGTAGCATCAAGATGAAGATTCCTCCGTAAATGATCCAAATGTGTATTGGAGTGGGAAAAGAAGGTGGAATTGGTGTTTGATTGCCATAACTATTCTGAGGAGAAAAAGGTGAAACTAGCAGCGGTGGAATTTACTGATTACGCTGTGGTGTGGTGGGATCAGCTTGATCTTAGTCGACATAGAAATTGAAAGCGTCTTTGATGGGAATCAAGACGACAGCATATCTACCACGTCATGTGATCCATTACACACCCAAGGAGGTCCAGTCACGCGAGCTAGAGCTAAGAAGATGCATGAAGCTTTAAATGGCCTTATTGAGCAGATATGGGTTGAAAACAACATACAACAAGCAAATCGAAGCTTGGATGATTATCAAGGCATGATAAACATGATTCAGGTTCAAGAGAAGCTTAATTGAGGTCATTTATGCTAAATTACACAGTTTGCGTCAATCTCGCAATTTTGTCGCAATTTGTAACAAACTGATATTTCATGTTACTTTAGGCTACTTTTAGTGATTTTCACGTTTTTTATATTATTTTGGGCTGAACATTCATTTATTTAAGGCCCAATTCGTGGTTATTATGATTAGGGCTTAGGGTGTTAGTTTCCTATTCTGATTAGAATTACTTTTCCCTATTTAAGGGGCTTGTAACCCTAATTGAGGGAGGCTATTGAATCTGAGATTTTGAGAGACTTTTCTCTTTGGGTTCGTTTCAGAACTTTATAGAACTTATCAAGATTATTCTTGTGGCGTTCTAACCTGACTTATCATTCTCGTTCTTAATCATTCAAGGGTGTGGGGTCAACCAACTTTATACCTCTGGTTCTTGTTGCGTCATAGACAACGGGTCAAGGTTTTTTTACCTTTGGTTCTTGTTGCGACATAAACAACGGGTCAAGGTCCTATTATAAACCTGATTTAGCTTTCCTGGAGTTTAGAAATCCCTTGTCGTGCTGTGGGTCTCATTGTTCTCTTTGGGGTTCTCATCAGTCTTGTTGACACTTGGGAAGAGATGAAAGCTATGATGAGAAAACGATTTGTTCCTAGTCACTACTACCGTGATCTCTATCAATGATTGCAGGACCTTACTCAAGGGTCCAAAAGCATTGAGGATTATCACAAAGAGATGGAAATCACAATGGTTAGAGTGAATGTGGAAGAGGACAGAGACGCAACTATGGCACAATTTCTGCATGGCTTAAATCGTGATATAGCTAATACGGTAGAGCTGTAGCATTATGTGGAATTAGAAGATATGGTGCATATGGCGATGAAAATAGAATGGCAACTCAAGCGTAAAGGAGCCACCAGCAAAACTGGACAAAATTCAAGTTCCTCATCTTCTTGGAAACTAAATTGGAGCAAAAAGGAAGAAACTTCTGCTTTTAAGCCTAAAATTGCAGCTTCTAAGTCAAAAGAAGTTGGCAGCAATGTGAAGAGTAAAATAGATAATACGCAAGGCAGAAACCGAGACATCAAGTGTTTTCGATGCTTAGGAAAGGGCCATGTTGCATCGCAATGTCATAATAAGCACATGATGATCTTGAGAGAGATGGGGAAATTGAAACTGAGGGTGAATCTGATGATGAATCTATGCCACCATTAGAAGATGCTAATGATGGTGTGGAATATGCCGTTGATGGAGAACTGCTAGTCACTAGGTGAGCTTTGAATGTGCAAGCCAAAGAAGATGATGAAGTACAATGTGACAATATATTTCACACGAGGTGCCATGTCAAAAACAAGGTATGTAGTGTGATTATTGATGGTGGTAATTGTACTAATGTAGCTAGCACTGTTTTAGTTGAAAAGCTTAATTTACCTATGACGAAGCATCCAAGGCCATATAAACTGCAATGGTTAAATGATTGTGGAGAAATCAAGGTAAATAAGCAAGTTCTGGTTTCATTCTCTATTGGACGATATAAGGATGAGGTACTTTGTGACGTGGTTCTTATGCATGTTGGACATTTACTTTTAGGGAGACCATGGCAATATGATAGGAGGGTAACACATGATGGCTTCAAAAATCGACATTCATTTTTCATGGAGAGGAAAACAATTACTCTTGCACCATTGAGTGCAAGGCAGGTTTATGAGGATCAATTGAGAGTAAAAAAGGAGAGTGAATTGAGAAATGAGAGTGAGCTTGAGGGTATGAAAAATAAAGAGAAAACAACAGAAAAAGAGTCTAAAAAGAGATAAAAGATTGAGAGTGTTGAAAACAAAGAGAGAAAATCAGTGAGTGTTTATGCAAAAGAAAGTGATGTCAAGGCTGTGTTCTTTGCAAAGTAGCCTATGTTTGTGCTTCTATATAAAGATGCTTATTTCAACACTAATGAACTTAATGATTCTTTACCTAGTGTTGTTAAATCTCTTTTGCAGGACTTCAAGGATGTGTTTCCAGAGGACATCCCTAATGGTTTACCATCAATATGGGGAATTGAGCATCAGATTAACTTCATTCTAGGTGCAACAATTCCAAACCGACCAACATATCGAAGCAACCCCAATGAGATGAAAGAACTTCAAAAGCAAGTTGAAGAACTCATGAAGAAGGGGCATGTGAGAGAAAGCATGAGTCCATGTGCAGTTCCAATGCTACTTGTGCTTAAGAAGGACGAGACTTGGCATATGTGCATTGATTGTCGCGCTGTCAACAAAATCACTGTAAAGTATTGTCACCCTATTCCTAGATTAGATGACATGTTAGATGAACTACATGGTTCTTGCATATTCACTAAAATTGATTTAAAAAGTTGGTATCATCATATTAGGATGAAGGAAGGTGATGAATGGAAAACAGCCTTTAAAATGAAACATGGTTTATATGAGTGATTAGTTATGCCATTTGGATTAACTAATGCACCTAGTATATTCGTGCGATTAATGAATCATGTTTTGCATGCTTTCATTGGCAAATTTGTGGTTGTTTATTTTGATGACATTTTGATATATTGTAAGAGTTTAACTGATCATATTGAGCATCTACGAATGGTATTAGAGGTTTTGAGAAAAGAAAAGTTATTTGCTAACCTTAAAAAGTGTTCCTTTTGCACAAATCAGATTGTCTTTTTAGGGTATGTTGTTTCAACTGATGGAATTGCAGTAGACGAAGAAAAGATTAAGGCTATTAAAGAATGGCCAACACTTAAGAATATTTTTGAGGTGCGGAGTTTTCATGGTTTGGCAAGTTTCTATCGGAGGTTCATCAAGGACTTCAACACAATTGCAGCTCCATTGACTGAAATCGTGAAAAAAAGTGTTGGATTTAAGTGAGAAAGTGAATAAGAGAATGCTTTCAATTTGATTAAGGAGAATTTAATTTTTGAACCATTACTTGCTTTACCTGATTTTACTAAAACTTTTGAAATTGAATGTGCTGCATCAACTATTGGCATTGGCGTTGTTTTGATGCAAGAGTGGCAGCTTATTGCGTTTTTCAATGAAAAATTGACTGGTACATTACTTAACTATCTTACATATGACAAAGAGATGTATGCATTGGTAAGGACCTTAGAAATGTGGTAGCATTATCCTTGGACTAAGGAGTTCGTGATACATATTGATCATGAGTCGTTAAAGCACCTCAAGGGACAAGGTTCTCGAAGATGGCACACTTCATTCCATGTCATAAAAACCGATATGCAACTAATATTACTGATCTGTTCTTCAAGGAGGTTGTTTGTTTACATGGTGTTCCAAGGACTATTGTTTCTGATCGCGATGTTAAGTTCTTGAGTTACTTTTGGCAGACCTTGTGGGGAAAGTTGGGAACTAAGCTATTGTTTTCAACTACTTGTCATCCACAAACTGATGGACAAACAGAAGTGGTTAATAGGATGTTGTTAGCCTTATTGCATTCTATTATTTAAAAAAACTTGAAGAATTGGGAAGAATGTTTGCCGCATGTTGAATTTGCTTATAGTGTCCATTCAGCAACTAACTGTTCATTATTTGAAGTTGTGTATGGTTTTAATCCACTCACCCTTTTGGATTTATTGCCATTACCCATTGATGAACGAGCTAGTTTGGATGGGAAAAAGAAAGCTGAAGTGGTTAAGCAACTACATGAAAGGGTGCGACAAAACATAGAGTGATGAACTGAGCAATATGCAAATCAAGCCAACAAAGGGCGCAAGAGAGTTGTGTTTGAACCTGGAGATTGGGTCTGGGTGCACATGTGAAAGGAGCGATTCCCTGCACAAAGGCGTTCTAAGTTGCAACCAAGAGGCGATGGACCATTTCAAGTAATTGCAAGGATAAACGACAATGCATACAATTTGGAGCTTCTTGGTGAGTATAATGTTAGTGCTACTTTTAATGTTTCTGATCTTTCTCCTTTTGATGTAGGTGACAATTTGAGGACAAATCCTTTTAAGGAGTGAGGGAATGATGGGAATCAAGATGACCCCCCACATGTACCACGTCAAGAGATCCATTACACATTCCAGGAGGTCCAGTCCTAAGAGCTAGAGCTAGGAAGATGCGAGAAGCTTTAAATGGCCTTATTGAGCAGATCTGGGTTGATAACAACATGCAACCAGTAAATCGAAGCTTGGATGATTATCAAAGCATGACGAACATCATTCAGGTTCAAGAGAAGCTTAATTGAGGTCATTTATGCTAAACTACACAATTTACATCAAAATCCCACAATTTTGTCGCAATTTGTAACAAACTAATATTTCATGTTACTTTAGGTTACTTTTAGTGATTTTCACGTTTTTTATATTATTTTGGGCTGAACATTTATTTATTTGAGACCCAATTCATGGTTATTATGATTAGGGCTTAGGGTGTTATTCTAATTAGAATTACTTTTTCTTATTTAAAGGGCTTGTAACCCTAATTAGGGGAGCTATTGAATCTGAGTTTTTAAGAGACTTTTATCTTTGGTTCGTTTCAGAACTTTATAGAACTTATCAAGATTATTCTTGTAGCGTTTTAACCTGATTTATCATTCTCATTCTTAATTGTTCGAGGGTGTGGCGTCAACCAACTTTATACCTCTAATTCTTGTTGCGTCATAGACAACGGGTCAAGGTTTTTACCTTTGGTTCTTATTGCGATATAAACAACGGTTCAAGGTCCTATTATAAACCTGATTTAGCTTTCTTGGAGTTTAGAAATCCCTTGTCATGCTGTGGGTCTCATTGTTCTCTTTGGGGTTCTCATCATTGACAATTTCCATTTGCTTGATGTCTTTTTATTCTTTTCTTTAACCATTGATAAAAAAAAAAAAAAAAATTGAACCAATTTAATTTGAGTTTAATAATTTAACTTAACAATAAATGATGGGAACCTCAAAGAGAACAATGAGACCCACAGCACAACAAGGGATTTCTAAACTCCAGGAAAGCTAAATCAGGTTTATAATAGGACCTTGACCCGTTGTTTATGTCGCAACAAGAACCAAAGGTACCTTGACCCGTTGTCTATGACACAACAAGAACCAGAGGTATAAAGTTGGTTGACGCCACACCCTCGAAAGAACGAGAATGATAAGTCAGGTTAGAACGCCACAAGAATAATCTTGATAAATTCTGTAAAGTTCTAAAACGAACCAAAGAGAAAAGTCTCTCAAAATCTCAGATTCAATA